GCGGGCCTATTGGCCCATACTGGGCAGTCCCATTTACACCCAACCCCTATTGCTCATATATCCATCCAATCTATGTTTGAAGCCATCCAGCGCGTTCGAGTTAATAATGAAGTTTGGTAACTTGTTAACTTGTTCCATTCATCCACTACTCTATTTCCATACCAATGTTTACCTATTTCGCGCCAAATCTAAATTTGTCTAATTTAAAACCATTGTTACGAGTTCGGTCCTGGTTGGATAGTTTGAGTACCTTTGTAATGTCCCCTTTGTTTAGCCCTGACTTCCATTTATACACCTCTATCAGGTCGCCCCTCGCTCTACGTCTCTCGAGGGAGTGCAAATTAAGATGCTTTAACCTGTCTCTATACTCAAGGTTCCTAATGCCCGGGATTAGTCTTGTCATTCTCCTCTGAATTCTTTCCAAGGATTCTATATCCATTCTGTAATACGGTGACCAGAACTGAACTGCGTAATCCAAGTGTGGTCTCACAAGCGCAAGATATAGTTTTAGGATGACCTCGCTAGTCTTGTAACTAACACTCCTTTGCATGAACCCAAGTACTTTTTTAGTCTTGTTTCGAGCAAATACACATTGTTTACTTGGCTTAAGATTCCTACTTATCATTACTCCTAAATCTTTCTCACATTCAGATTTCTCAATAACATCGTTGTTCATCTGGTATCTGGTTTCCCTGTTTACATCTCCTATACTAAGTACTTTACATTTGTCCACATTGAATTTCATCTGCCATTTTCAGACCATTCGATTTTTTTTAGATCTTTTTATAGTTTTGCGGAGTCCTCGAATAATTTGTGATTAGGTTAGGTTTGCTCAAGCCAGGTGGATTACCGTCACTCCAGCACGCTACACCTGAAGAATCTCCACCCCTCATAGTTAAGGTAAAGTAAAAATGCAAAATATCAAATCTTGTGTTTCATACATCTTTACTAAGAGGTTAGGTTAAGTAAAACTAAAAAAGACAATATTGCAAACTCCACAACACTAACCTAACCCTAACTGAAATATTGTCACCCCAATGCGCTCTGGGGTGACGATTCTTCAGGTGATTCAGCCAGATTAAATTAATCTAGGTTTGTTGCTCGAGTTAGATCCATCCCATGAAATTAAATCACAGCTCAAGTCACTATCGTTTTATCTTTAATCACATAGACTTGTGGACACTTACTCACACACAGATACCATTAATCCACCTGTATCTCAAGTCTAGTACACTCACACACACTCCATCAACACCCACTACGACTGTGTTTAATATATACAGTACATCAACAATACAGCTCTATATGTACAGGTACAGTAAGTCTAACTCGTCAACACAGTAAGTACCATCCCTTTCTCTTTATCATGGGCATCACCAGAAGATTCTTCCACCCAGCTAATTTTACCAGAAAATTCCCCCACCCAGCTTATTTTACCAGAAGATTCCTCCACCCAGCTAATTTTACCAGAAAATTCCCCCACCCAGCTTATTTTACCAGAAAATTCCCCCACCCAGCTATTTTACCAGAAGATTCCTCCACCCAGCTTATTTTACCAGAAGATTCTCCCATCCAGCTTATTTTACCAGAAGATTCCCCCACCCAGCATATTTTACCAGAAGATTCCTCGACCCAGCTTATTTTACCCTAATCCCCCAGGTAGAGTGATTAATCTGCAGGTAAAATAAGCTGGAGGGTTCTTCAGGTGATCCCTACATTGTTATGACTCTATATATACATTGTGTTTAGGCCATGGTACAGATGGTGTTACTTGGAATAGCAAATAAACAACCATCAAGATTTGTGTTGTCAGGAGAGATAAGAAACAATAGGCCAGAGAAAGATTTTGTCACGAGAGATGACGAGACAACACAACACACAGGTCCTACAACCATCTTATCTACTCCCCAGTGCACCTTTAGGCAGATATTCCTTCCTCTCCAAAAAGAGGGAAAAGAGAACCGCACTTGTGGACCAACGTTTCTCTCTGCTATTACATGTAGTTAAACATAAATCAAACTCTGAATATAAAGGAATGTAAATACTGAATGATATACAGTATATACTGAATTTCGCATTTTGAGTCACCTTGAGATTAGTGTTTCCCCAGCTGACTTAATGTTACCTGGATGGGTTAGGTTAAGTTAGCTTTTGGGTGGTTAATCTTAAGTTGAAATTAGCAAACTGTGCCACGATTTTATTTCAATGCGTTTCATGATAAATAATTTTACAACGACTCCGAACTGAGCTTTTTTTCACGAAAGTCTTTGTTAGGTGTAGCTATATACTTGTTGATGTGCACTTGTTTGATGTCAGGTCTGTTGCAAACGACTTCTAGCCACGCATGCTACAGTGGTTATGGCCTTCCCTTAACACCTGAGCTCTGTGGGTCAGGACCTGTGGTTTTATTATTGGCGTGTTCTATCAAACATTAATAGGTATTTTATTCATTAAAATTGCCACACACGATGTATTTCTGATCACCATATTGTATACCCATTCAAGCTCTGGGTTTGTTATCTATGGTTTACTGTATTGAGCCAAAATAATACACATACAAAATGAAAAAAAAATATTGCAATGGCTGAGAACTTTCGAGTGTTGCAGCTCTCTTGGAGGTGCATGATAAATACTATAAAAACGTAGGTAATACCATAAGAGTATCATCAGATCAAGAAATTTATAATCATAAAAGTAATTTTCCTAAATATCTCAACGTATGTATAAAATCCCAGCAACTCAACACTTCCTGTATATGTACAGAACGTTGGTCTACTGTCAACAAACATAGCTGGTTGTGAGGTCAGCTGGAAGACGATGCCTCAGGTCGACGATATGATGTCTCGGTTCTGCTGAACCAACTCAGTCCTACACAAAACAATACTTAAAAGCTGTACAATATATCCTTTAAAGATGTAAAGCAACTTGAAATTGTACATCTCACGTGCAATGTCTTATATGAACGACGAACAAATAAACACTTAACCCATCTCAAATTTGAACACAATAATACTTCACTATTCTCTATATCTTCAAAGTGTAAAACAGTTTTGAAATGTACAACTCAGGTTAATTAAGTGATATGACTTGTTCAGTTGTACAAAACAAAGATAAACAATGTTGACCCAAAGTGTGAACAAAATGATACTTGAATATTCTCCACATCTTCAAGTCAAAACTGTACATTTCAGATTACGGTTGGTGTATGACCAATCTTACGCCATTTCAAATATTTCTTATATCATCTTTATATAAACCAACACACATCAATAATCATAGTAAATATTCGTCATCACTTTTTATTCTAAAACAAACATTTAATAAGTTAGCACCGTCAATCGATATGTACGAGTGAATACCTGTAGTTCTGTCAAACTGAAAATAACAAAAACAGCTGCGAAACAAAAAAAAATCATACCAAACGATGTGCAAATGTCTTCCTCGGTTTCTAGTGGATGTCAACTTTACCTTCAAGTATACAGGTAGGCTACTGCATATGTAAATGTGACAGGTGTAGTTTTATGTAGTGTGTGTGTGTGTGTGGATTCAATTTATGTACTTTTTGTTCCCGATTTCATTAGTATATGTACTATTTAAGGCAGACAAACTATCTTACAAAGCTTCAAATATATTAATTATGAACATTCCAAGTTTATGTTTGTACACGAATGCCTTGATAAATTGTACCAAAATGAATCAAAACCGCCAGAATATGTTTACATAATTATGTACAAAACTGAGCAATCTTTTTCTAAGGAGATTTGAAAGTGTACAATATAGATTAACTTTAAAGTGTAAACCTCAGGTTAACTTAAAATTGCACAGCACAGGTTAATTTGAGTGTACACCACAGGTAAACTTGAAGGTGTACACCAGAGGAAATTTTGACCACTTTGGATGCAAAACAAAATCAGTGTACATCTGAGCTAAAACATCTCTAAGATAAAGCTACAACAAAATGTATACATCTCTAAGATAAAGCTAACACAAAATGTATACATCTCAGATAAAGCGAACACAAAATGTATACATCTCAGATAAAGCTACCACAAAATGTATACATCTCAGATAAAGCTACCACAAAATGTATACATCTCAGATAAAGCTACCACAAAATGTATACATCTCAGATAAAGCTACCACAAAATGTATACATCTCTAAGAAAAACTAATAAAAACAAAACACATCTCAATGCTTGTTGTATACTGTACATGCATGAATTGGCTTGTTTATCTGAGCAAGACCCCCACAACCATCAGCGTAATGTCTACATTTTCATATTCGTCTCATTTTGTCCCTGAAAACTTGAACATGCAAGGTCCATCTCGTGTCTATTTTTATATATGAAATATTGTAGTTTGTTCAGTTGTAGAGAACCAAGTTAGAACTATCTTAACCCCTTAAGGATGATGCTTTAATTCCTCGAGTAATGGAGTTTAAATTTCATACTCAAAGGGTTATTAGATCATCATCCTCAGTTACTTCAACCATCGCCCTCAAAGGGTTACAATCCAAACACATCCCACTATAGTTATCTCTTCAAGATCTCAAAAACTGAAGGACACACACATATCTCGGATAAATGTTCATGTACTGAGTGTGATGTTATGCAGTGTAAATTGACCCAACAAGATATTCCCAGCACAAGGAGATAATGTTATCAATGGTCACACTCCTTCGTCTCCTACAGAGATAAGCAATGATAGCACGTGCGCGAGCGTGCGTATATACACACACACACACACATCCGGTAGCTTGTTTCTAAAGCACAAAACGATAATTCGTTGATGACTTTTCAACATGAAGCATGTGAATCGTTTATCATAATTGATGAAGTACACAGCACAAGCGTTAAGACATTAGTTGACATAAACACAGTTCATTAAGTGTTGTGACAAACAAAACAGCTTATGAACTTTTGCTGATAAATCAGTGTTTACATAATGTTTGCTGACGTAATCAAAACATTTCACATCCATTTGTTGACATAAGACAACGTTTACACATTCCAATGACAAACAACACCTACGCTGACGTCAACCAAACCAGAAGGGGTTCTTACCTTAATGCCACTGCGTCCTTGCTGCTTGAGGAGAACATTTTCTGGCTTCATATCACAATGGATGATTTTGTTCTTATAAAGGGCGTCCAGACACAGCAGCAGACTGTGGGCAAACTTCCTCACCAGCTGCAGGCTGAACCCCATGAATTTGTTTTTCTTAATAAGCTCGTAGAGGTTTATTGAGAGGAGCTCGAAGGTGATACAGGTGTGGGAGCGGAAGGTGAAGTGATCATACATATGGATAATGTTCATGGTATTATCCTTGTCCTGTTTCCTGAGGTGTTCGAGGATACGGATCTCCTCCTGTGCTTGCCTGTGGAACCTCTTCTCGTTACGGACAATCTTGAGGGCAACGTGCAGATGGCTCTTGTGATCGTAGGCCTTCACCACCTGGCCGAAGCTCCCCTTGCCTATGATTTTGAGCACCTCGTACCTGTACTGAATGTGGTCGTGAGGAATGTGGGCGTACGACCCTTGATGGTCGTCATACCCATAATTAGACGAGATAGCCTGGTTCCCTGACCCTATGATACCAGGCCTCTTCTTCGCATTGGCGCCTATGAAGTAGATTTGTGGATAGTTAAAGATTTCTTTATGTTCGTAAGGGGTAAGTTTGTTCATGTAATATTTCATGACCTGTTCAGGTGTGGCTACATAGGTCTTTGGTTGTCTGGTTGAGCCGTTCTTGAGGCTGCTAGAGTCTGCAGAGGGCGGCCGGACCACCGGCAGACTTGAGGAATCCGTATTTACTTGACTCGACACTGAATTTGGTTGGCCGTTCTGCTCCGAGTTCGAATTCGTGTCATCGAACTCGTAGAGCTGAGTGATGGACTGTGCGCCTGTGGTCTTCATGGCGAGAGGCTTAAGGGGCGGCAAGTGGGTACTGCTCCCTCCCTCCAGATAGGCGCTGGTGCCGGTGGTGGCGTTGGTGGTGGTGTTGGAGAGGGTGGTGGTGTTGGTGGTGTCGCCAGGGGAGCCCGCACCGTTGATGTTGGCCAGTAAAGATCGGGTACGGGAGAGGGGCATGGCCGCAAACACTCCACCAGCTCCCAGCAACCCTCCTACTCCACCTCCTCCTCCCAATCCACCGCCGGGACCTCCCACACTCCTGCAGGCCGCCTCCCTATCTGTGGCCGCACATATCATAGCGCTGAAGCCGCCATCTCCTCCAGACAGTCGAGGGCCATGCTCACAGCGACCGCCACTCCACGCACTCCACTAAAACACTAACACACCGCACTAACTCGGCCTCCAGGCTCCACTTGTGCGTTTAACTATACCAATTTTCTAAAGATATTGTAAAATTATCCGCCAGGCTTCATTTGTGATTCTTTTAAATACCATTAAATTCATAAACACAACACACCGCAACACATCTCCTTCCACCAAGAGAACCTAGAAGAGACTCAGTTCATGAACGGTGAACAATGGAGACCACGTCAATGTCCTCTGACGTCATGACTTGTAGACCAATCACAGTCGCGTCAATGTTGCCAGAGCTCAACCACTGTAGTTTCGTCTCGACTCCAGAGGTTCAAAATTACCACACAAAATATCTTTTGTTGGATATGTATAAAACACTTTGGTAATATAACACATTTGATATCATAATAATTATTTCTAAGAGATTCACCAATAAACTCTCATGCGCGGGTTTCCAGTGGCTGCCAAGGTGGGCCAGTAGACATAATTTATATGCCTGCCTCTATGGTGATAAATATAGGTCATTTACTGTTAATTGAGGGACTTGTAAATATACCATGTGTGACAATCAGTTCACTGTTAATTTCTTGTCCATCGTAATTTTTATGGCAACAACTTGTGTAATGCGAGACATTTTTTTTAAATGAAATCAAACTTTATTAAATGTAAGTACATTACTGTACATACAAATAAGATATACCCTTCCTACTCGCATCTTTATTAAACTTTGAATTATAAGGAAATATACATCATTAATTGAATATGTCGCATGAAGAAAACAAAGACAAATTTCATACAACTGTTAACTATCAAAAGAAATCTAAATTTGCTGCTAAAAATGCTTACTACATTTCCTTACTGAAATTTTATGGTAATACGATATGCGAAAGTGATAGTTGTAAAGGAAAGAATCCATAACGATATATCTAACAAATTGATGAACTCCATGTTCTTTGTTAAGTAAACACTAGCTGAGAGGAAGCACATTCCTCCCTCAGTGATGAAACATGTCCAAACACACCTGTACCCCAACTGTTTACTAACAAGATTGACTCTTCCTGGTAATATAAATTGTATTTTCCCTCAAGGAAACATGTCACCCCTATGTATGCAAAGGTATGGTTTGGTAATCATCATACCTCGGCAACAATGTGACGTCACAGACAGGCGCGCGCACCCAAACTCTCACGGATGCCATATGGTTGGCCGAGGGGACGCCAGAACCGTGAGATTTAGTGTATAACCGTATTGACCACTTCTGCTCAGCTTGTCTTCCATTACACTATTTCAGAAACAGCTGACTCTCCTGTTCGATCTGTGAGCAACCAGCTGACAATCTCGCCTAAAGCCATAATATGTAGGACGGGTGTAATTAGGTGCGTGAAACAGTGCCACACACCAGCTAGTATTTCATAATGCGTTTCTCTTAATACCACACCTTTCCATTATACTACAGTAAATATATAGGTGTACTGTATGTGTGTGTGTGTTGCGTGTGTGCGTGTGCTTGCATGCATCAGTGTAGGAAGCTACAGTATGTAACCACCTACCTCTCCTCTCCCCCATAACAAAACAGACAGACAGGACAGGAGTAGATAGGCACAATAAGTTCTCTTTACAGAGTCAATCCCATACCAGTTAAAGACATTCACTTAACCAAACCTAATGTAACCTAACTTAACCTAACCCAATGAAACCTAACCTAACATAACATAACCTAAGTTAACCTAATCTAACCTAACATAACCTAAGTTAACCTAATCTAACCTAACATAACTTAACCTTAGCTAATCAAATCTAACCTAACATAATCTAATGTAACCAAACTTAACGTAATCTAAAGTAAGTTATTCACACAAGTCCGCCCCAGTGGATAAAATGTTTCTATCTCAACACCCAAAGATGGCATCTTATCCTTGCGGTCACCAAACTTTGTGAAGGCGACTGACACTCAACTTTATGAAAGGTATTGAAAACACACACACACACACACACACACACACCCCAATACCCAGCTTAATCTGTGAGTTTCGTTTTTAACTGGGCCTATGTTGATATTGCAGACACCATAGATCCTCAGCAATTTGGCAATATGAAAACTTCCTCCACCACTCACTGTCTTGTCAGCTTTCTCAACTACATATACCGCCATCTGTAAAAAACGAAAAACGTCTGTGGCTGCCGCCTTCATTGACTTCACCAAAGCATTTGACCTAGTCGACCACAATTTAATCATCAACAAAGCTATCAACCTCGGGTTTCGAAGAATTCTTACACGGAACTGACAACAGCAGACCGGGTGGATTATGTGGATGACATAGGGCGAAACAACTTCAGGATTGCCGGTATCCCTGAAGACATCCACGAGAACTGGGAACCATCCCAACGCAAAATTCCACGCCTGCTGGATGAACATTTTAAACTTGCTGAAGTAAAGTTTGACCGTGTTCAACGCGTCGGGAAACCCAACTCTTCCCGTCCCCGCGACATCATAACAAAATTCTCATCCCCCTCTGACCGCGACAAAGTGTTTTATCAACGCAGTAAACTGAAAGGCACCACTATCTTCGTCAACAAAGATCTCTGCCCAGGTACGACTAAAGCCCATCTACAACAAATGGACCAGTTTAAAGAAGCCAGGAAACAAGGGAAACACGTGACGTTCAGTCATAAAACCCTTGTTGTGAGGGATCGGACAAGTGGACACCCGCCCACTCACCCACCCGCTGTACCAATCCCCCCAAGCCCCTCGAGAACCCCCTCCCCACTGAGGGGGAACCAGCCACTGTCGCTATCACCTGAGGAGTTTCCCCCCTTGCCGGTCAACTCAAGTACTGCAGGTCTACCCTCTGTGGTGGAAACCAGCATCCCTCAAAACCGAGTGACAGGCGCGCCTCCCACTCCATCTGGGAATCACCCTCAACAGTACCGGTCATCCTAATTCTGTTGGTTATAGCACTGATGAGTACAATACCCCCCCCCCCACCACTATTATAATTCTTAGATCTTCCTTTTTCACACCTCAGTGACCCTGAGTTTTTACTGTTCCTTAATCAGTATCAATGTTCCACAATGATGATGCTAGTGTCATTCCCTTAGATGTGCTAGCTCGTATGTGTTACAACCCCTTTACCCATGGTGTCGACACAATACTCCCTCATATCGATCTTGATGTCTTTCTACAAAACTCACTGGGTTACACCAACCCAAACTGTAACTATTACTTTCCTGACTCTCCCGAGTTTAGTTCTAGTCTCCTACTACCCCATTCCTTCTCCTTGATTAGCCATAACATCAGCAGTATTCCCCTTCATCTATATGCCTTTTTAGATCAGTGTTTATCTTCTATTGCCCACAAATTTGATGTACTTGGGTTCTGTGAGACCAACCTCACTAACGATACTGACCATTTGTATAACATTCCTAATTATAATAGACACTGAGTCAACACGTCACGACACAGTGGTGGTGTCGCCTTAAATGTTGATATCAAGTATAACACTTCTGCAAGAGATGATTTAAAGGTTCAGGAGGAGTACATGGAGAGTGTTTTCATTGAATTACGTAATGACACACGAAATATCCTAGTAGGAGTAATCTACAGAAGACCCCACACTAATGTAAGAAATTTTTTTGATAAAATTTCGGAGCTTATCACTATCATACGTTCAGAGAGGAAAGACTACTACATTACAGGAGATTTCATCCTCAGTATTAGACCTTCTTGCTACCTGTCATTCTAAACTCTTCTTCAACACTATAACCAAACCCACTAGAGTAACTGCCACCTCTGCCACTGTGATAGATCATATCTGGACTAACAACACTCCTAACAATCTAGCAAGTGGAATTATTTATAACAATATCTCAGATCACTTCCCAGTTTTTGCCATGTATAAAACAGCTACAAGACCTGAGAGGTCTAGTAGAGTCTCAATCCAATACAGAGACTACTGCACCGACAACATGCTCCTTTTTGAAAACAACCTAATGAATGCAAACTGGGATCTTGTCTATGCCTCCGACAACCCTAACGTGAACAGAAGCAACTTCTCTTGCATCTTCAATGCTTGCTTTGATAAATGCTTCCCGCTCAAGACTAAGTCAGTGAAACTGTATCCATTTCCAAACCCTATATCACTAGCGAAATTAAGATAATGATAAAAAAAAATTTGCAGAAAGACCCATAACTTTCGGTGATGCTTACCGAAGTATCAGAAATAGAGTAAATCAAGCAGTTAGAAAAGCCAAACGTAACTATTATACAAATAAGCTCCAGTCAGCATCAGGCGACAGTAAGAAATCCTGGAATGTCATAAATTCTATTCAGAACAGGAACACTCAGCCTTCAGACCCCCACTCAGCTTTTATGATAAACGATTCAGTTATAACGGAACCCTCCCCCATTGCCAACCACTTCAATGAATATTTTATTAATGTTGGCAAAAATCTTACAGAGCATCCCTGATCACCATGAAGAATTTAGAGCCTACCTGCAAAACAGACAGCAAAATGAGCTGTTCTTATCCCCTGTCACAACAGATGAATTACTGGCCATCATAAAAATGTCCAAAGATGCAGCAGCAGGCGAAGACAATATACCAATGAGCATCATTAAGAAAGTAGCCCACTTATTACTACCTGTTCTCCTCCACATTTGTAACTCCTCCTTCACTAGTGGTGTCTTTCTTGGTAAACTGAAAGTGGCTAAAGTTCACCCAGCATATAAAAAATCTGGGGACAAAGGTCTCTTCAAGAATTACCGCCCCATATCAGTCCTCCCAGCCTTGAGTAAGATGCTGGAAAAGCTAGCATGTAATAGACTAAATTCCTTCTGCATTGCCAATAACATCTTTACAGACTCCCAGTTTGGATTTAGAGCTAGAAGGTCGACTAAGAGTGCTCTGCTACCCTTTACTAATGACATCTTAAATTCCTTTGATGACAGTCAGTTCACAGTCGGTATATTCTTGGACCTCTCTAAAGCCTTCGATACTGTCGACCATACCATCCCCCTTTCAAAGCTTGAACATTACGGCGTTAGAGGCCTGTCCCACAATTGGTTTACCTCATATCTGTCCAACAGGATGCAGTATGTCTGCTATAATAATCACCAATCTGACTCCTCGCCAATCTTGTATGGCGTCCCCCAAGGTTCCATTCTCGGTCCAGTACTGCTTTTGTTGTACATAAACGACATAGTCCATGCCA